CTACTACTACTACTACTACTTCCCAATAAATTGCGGGATCCGAACTTTCAGACGGCAGGGGCCTGCTGGAATGGAAGGACCTCCAGCAGCAGCTGATAACCACTGGGGAGCACACGGTGCAGCCTGCAAGGGCCGCCTCTTTCATTGTGAATGCGGCCCTTTCTTCTACTCCTTGAGGTAAAGACTATTTTTGATTTTTCCGAAAATTGTCATGACATTCCAGTTGCTGTCCAGAGACTACTTTGGACCGTTAGACTGGCGCCTTGGCTTGGAGCTCTTGGAAACCTCTTCTACTGAACCACCAAGGAGCACAGGGCCCTTTCCAAGGGTACAGGCTGTGGGCATAAGGCGTACATTAGGGTTATATTGGGGTTATATTAGGGCTATATAAGGGTTATATTGGGGTTATATTAGGGCTACATTAGGGTTATATTGGGGTTATATTAGGGCTACATTAGGGTTATATTGGGGTTATATTAGGGCTATATGTTGGGCTAATACTTCAGTAGCGTGCGTGACTTTTATGAAGCTGGCACGGAGCCCCAGGTCAGCTGCCCGTCGCGGCCACGTCAAGATATCTATACCCCTTCCACTGTTGTTGCTTCTTTGTGAAGCTCCAAGACCCCCATGTAAACCCCAAACCACCGAGCCCAAAGCTCCAAACCCAACATGTGGCAGCCAACACACTGGAACTTGAACTGGAATCGCCGGAAACAGCGTTTGCCCCGCAAGCCACCGAACCCTTCAAATCTGGGCGCCCGGACACCACTCCAAATAGTTGGCATCCCATCTCTGGGATGTCCAGGAAAGGGGCGGAGAGGATGAGCGTCCCTGACAAGGTATGGTTTACGATTCGGCTCTGAGTTTCAGCTTCCGAGCTTTGGGATCCATTTCAAACGGCTTGCGCTGCAGGTAGGCTTCAAAAAATATCGAAAAGTCTCGATGCGTACTGGGGTCATCCAGATGCTTTATACTGGATCTATATGCACGTCTCAAGCACGCGACGACCCGGCTCGGGGGTCCACAAGGCCAGCAATGATGGCCACAGGAGCCTTATTGTTGCCTTTTGCGGCTTGTATCATTAGTGGCCAGCCGACCCACTGCCATTATGTCTTAGCCAACTTAGCGGTGGAGCTGAAACCTGGCTCTGAGCCGCAATACTCAACCCGGGGCCTGCCTCGCTCTTTTCCTGGCCGTAGCTCCTCCCAGTCTGCTGCCAGCCTGCAGCTCGCTTGTGGGGTCAAGGGGTTGCGGAAGGGCAGACAGAGCAGTCCATTTCAAGGACACTTCGGTGGCGGATCAGTACACTGCCAGCATTAGGCGGCACATTTAAATCATTAAGCCGTCCTCTTCTGCTATAGCCTACACAGGGGCTGCTCCCCAAGCCGGCGCGAGTCTTAGGTTAAGGAGGACCGGAGTACTGCCAAAAGGTAGTCCACCAGGAAATAAGCCGTGCTCTCTCTCTCTCTGCCTTCTCTTCGGCCGGAAGCTGTGGAAAGACATGAATTCAACCTTCGAGTTACCTTGTGCTTGACCCAGCCCACTGCAGGCTTTGAGAGCTTGCAAGCGTCAAGGCGGAGGGGAAGCAATCCCCAAATTGTGAACTTGAAGAAGCTTAGGACAAGCCCAAAGAAGCAAACCCCCTCCACCCCCTTTCAATCTGAAACCCTCAACCCGAAGTCCTGTCTTACAGTCTTACCCTAAACCCTAAACCCTTTTCTGGGGACTTGGCTGCGAGGCAGCAGCTGCTCCCAAGGAGTGGCCTGGCAGCTGATTTAAGAGAAACAGGAGGAAGGGTTTACGGATTAGGGTTTCAAGTAGAGATGAAAGAGGATCTTTCTGAACACCGGATGGGCGCGCAAATTTGAAGGTGAGTGATGTTTATATTCTTTTCAGCTTCGGAGCGCAGATTGAGGCCGTTGAGGACGGGCGCCTATCGGCCGCACATTTTGTTGTTTCTTTTCCCTCCCGCGCCGTGTGGCTGTCCCAAGCTGATCTTTTCCTGGCAGGACCGCAGTCGATTTACGTTAAAACCAAAGTGTAATGCATCAGCTTCAGCGTCAATTGTTTCGTTTGTCGTTATTCTTATCTTATGCAAACTCACCATGCTTTTTTTTCAACCGCCAAAATGATCAAATTTATTAAGCGTGGTGGAGACAGCCACAAAAATTCAATCCATGTAAACTGCATCGGCACGCGATGCCACGCGATGTCACGCGTGCAAAAGAAGTTTTACTATAGGGCATCGATTGATAAGTGCACGTAAACTTGATGGAGACAGTGTGGCCTTTGCCAATGCATTTCTTAATTTAGTTAGGGCTTCAGGGTTTAGAGAGTTCGGTTCGGGTCTTAGGAGATGATTTTCTAAGTTTACTTTAACCCTAGCTTGCTTTGCACAAACCAATTGTCCGGGCACACCTGCACCATTTGGCGCGAGCATGTCTGGCTGTTCGCGCAGTACGCAAAGTCCAAGGACATTTATCCGAGGTGATGCTCGCCGAAGAAAATCTTGTACCCCGCCTCCAGATCCCAAGCACAAACAGTTTTCAGAAACCCGGGGTCGCGCGCGGAAACGTTGCATGTCTTGAATTCTTTTTGTTTGACGGTGCCTGTTTTCGTGCCTGCTCGAAAGGAAAGCAGAGACTTTCCAATAACCATTCTTCAAAAAAAAAATTAGCTTCCCTGCAAGACCAAATCTGAAGGTTGTCACGCGAAACCCAATGCTTTTCGGAGGGCCCCCGGAACAAATCTGAGCTTTGATCGTTTCGCCTTCTTCTTTCGGATTGAGGATTAAAATTTGACAGCCTGAGGGTTGCGACGGTAAGCTTCACGCCCTTTCTGGGCCTTCCTGAACGCAACCTTTCTTGCACAACCCAAGGTTGCGCGTAGAATTTCCTAATGAGACAGGTATCGGTTAAGGTAGAGCCGAACACGTTCAGAAAAGGTCTGGGATCTGGAAATGCCCAAGAAAGCTTTCGAGCCCCAAAATGCTCAGAAACGCCCTGCGAGCGGCTGCAATACGCACAGATGCGGCTTTGGGGGCCTGGCTGAAACCGCTTCAGAAATGGTTTGAAGAGGCACCCAAATTCGCACAGAAGTATTCAGAAACGGCTGCGGAGAAACGGTCTGCCGGCATATCCCAAAACGCTCGGCAATTGTCTGGGGTGCCGAAGAACATTTCAAGACGTTTAGAAACGCTTTGGAAAGACCAGAAACGGTCGGTGGGCCCGAAACTTGGCTGTAGGATTTGGCACCAAGCCCTCGTCGCTAAACCCTGAAGAGCAGGAAATTGGATCTGATTTTCTGCCCTGTGTGCTGTAAGCCCTTACACAAAAAAATCACTGCAACCAATTTCTAGGACCTCCCCGATCTGGCCCTGAACCCTCGTCGCTAGACCCTCATCTTTAGCATTTAAAGACTAAACCCTCATATTTACAGGATTTAGGCCCTCGTCTTTCGCATTTAGCCGTGACATCCTAGCAAAAAATAATGCCTAAATACATCTAAATACTCATCCTACGCACTGGTCGCTCAGCCCGAGTCTTCAGGATTTAGCACAAATCCCTCATCCTAAGCCCTCCCCCGTTTTATTTAGCAGTCATCTTTTTGCAAAGCATAGGCTATTATAGGGTTTTTCTTTATATGGGCCGCGTGGCCGGGCCACCCGATAAGCCTAGGGCGCGGCGGCGCTGAGGGGCGGCGCGAGCGCCGCCTGGACTTAGGGTTTAGGGCTCGGGGGTGGGCAAAACTGGCAAATCCCAACACCTGACCACAACCCGAGAAGTGTGGCAGAGGTGCCGAAAAGGTTCAGCGCCACATCTGGGTAGCGCTGGAGAACAGCGGCCTGGCTTCAGGCTGGACTTGCAAACGTATTCACGCGGATGCTTCAAAAATATAGTGAGATATGAACTTGAGCTTCCAGGTCCAAAGTTTCTACCATGTGGTTCACGTATTGATGGACTGATCATCTCTGAGACGCCCCACCAGCGCTGCCTATCAAACAACACCTTGCATAGAAGATGACATAAGCATCAAGCGTCCATGTTGCGGCTGCCCCGCGCAGACGTGATCAGGCTGGCAAGATACAACAAGGGTTTACTTTCGAGCTGCAGGTTCGCCGGCTGAAAAGCACTGGCTGCAAGAATCAGTCAAGCAACAAAGAAAGTCTCACACAAGCAAGGTCACATTGCATGCGAACCCTGAACCCCCCATAAAATTTGAACCTCGCAAACTTCATCCTAACATCTTCAGTTTCCGAAGCCCTCCATCCCGTGGCTCTGACACCAATAGCTGTTACTCGGCATGACCAGGTCAGGTTGCGTGCCCCAGGCCCCAAGGTTGAGTCATGTTCATTACAAGTCGGGGTGGGGCAAAAATGGACCCTATCCCTAAACCCCTATATGACCTATAGTACCCTATATTACCCTATATTATCCTACATTACCTTATATAAAGAAGCCCACAACAGCCCATAAAAACCTTAAACCCTTAAACCCCTATACCTTAAACCCTAAACCCTAAACCCCTAAACCCTAAACCTTAACCCAAAACCCCCTAAACCCTACACCCCTAAACACAAAAGATTGATGAATTTGGTGCCCAGGGCTGCGGCTACTGCTAGCTTCGAGGCCCGAAGGACGGAATCCGGCGCAGGCTCCCCTTTCAGGAGTATATTTGGGGTTATACAGGGATAATGGAAAAGAAAATGGAAACGACAATAGGGCAGAGGGTTTGGGGTTAAGGCTGGGAATGAAGGAATGGAGAGGGTGTAACATATGGCCCTAAACAAGTAGATGCGTGTTTAATGTGAATCATTCTTGCTTCTATATTGCAGGATTGAAGTGTTCGCGCTTTACGGATCGAGGGCTTAGGGTAGATGGTGTTTTTTGGGCAGACTGTAGGGACATCCTGGGGGAGATGTGCGGTTCGTATTCCCCAGTGCCAAGGGCTACTACCATACTTGCTGCAAGGTTGGCTCTTGGCACATTTGGCACTCAGCTCAGACTCCTAACCATTGCTTCTTCAGGTTGGTTTGAGCTTTTCGTCTTCCATCCTCAGGGGTTCGAAAAAACGTCGTGCCGTGTTTAGCTTCATGGCCTCTGGGTTTAGAGTCGAAAGCTTTAGGACCGAAACAAGTTTCTATGCTTCTAGGACAAGACACACACACACACACACA